CAGTAGGCAGCAGCGTAGTTGGTCAGCCCCACCTTGACGCCGTACTTGGGCAGCTCGTGGGCGTAGGCAGCGCACACGATCATGTCCCCCTCGATCCTGGCATAGGCAATCTGCAACACACAAACGTTGGGGCTCCCTGTTCCTCTTCTGACACCTACTCAAGCCATGCTGGGTCCGAGTGTGCAAAAACTGCCAAGCTCTGCATGCAAGCTCAAGGAGTGTTGCTGCTTTGGTTTGTTGGGGGGTGTTTGTTTGTTCTGCCCCTCCTGTCTCCCCACGCTGTTTGTTTGTTTTTGCAAAAGGAGTCATCAACTCCTCAAGTAGACACAAAGAAATTAAACCGGTATTAGGCCAGCTAAAATGTTTGTCAGCAACAACTGGTTATTACCCTTCCACATAAATCAGGCCAGAAGCTGCCTATAATAGTAACCTTTCAAAGAATCACTATGAATGGGGATGAGTTCTGTCCCATTTTCTGATACATCTCAAAAAATACAAGCAGCACATCAAGACTGTTAGTAACTTTATGGAATGATTTGATTAATCATGGTCTAAGACCATCATTATCCCAGGGTCTCCTGTGGGACAGCAGGACTATCAGACAGGTTTCTGCTGTTTCTTTCAGGTATAGAATCTCCTTTTGACTCTCACACCTCCTCTCTACATCCAAATGTCATCCCATTTCTGCAGGATTCTGACATACTGGAAAAGGACTTTCAGTCAGATGTAAGCCCCTGCAACCACTGATCTTCATTTTGAGTTTCAAAGATAAAATAACCTTATTAATGACTGAACTGTTCTCATCAGATAACTACTCTATGAAAAACCAAGTTAAACTTAGCTGCTTCCTTTTTGCACTCAACAACAACTATTTATTATAAACCAGGCATTCCTCAGTTTTAAACTTAAAAATTAGTTAAAACAGTCTAAAGATTAAATAAAAGTGAGCCACAGTGAGGAACTGCATATGATGCTACACACAACCACAGCCTTATGAGCATGAAAAAGTGCCTGTTCTTGTTTACAAGCCTCCTTCAATCTCACAGGAAAGCCATCATAAAGCCTCAGAGCTTCATGTGAGCCACACAACACAGAAATAGAACTCTCAAAAGAGAACCCTTAGACATAACACAAGTCAATGCAGGTTAACAGGTCACACTGTGAACGTGGTTGTCTTCAGCCAAGCATAAAAGGCCTCTTTTTGAAGCCCTTTAAATATAGCAAAAAACCCCCTCAGAGACATCTTCCCTCTCCCCAAAATGTTCTACTTAGCCCAGAATCATTAAAGCACAACAAATCTTACACAACAAATTACCTCACAGCAAAAGTACTAACACATGCAGAACTTCCTTTCTACAATGCACACGGTTTATTACTGAAGTTGTGATAACACTGAAGATTGTCCTCCTCTAAGGAGCTGTTTTACAATGCAAACACCGCGCAGATCCGGCCTAAGAAACCCCAGGTGCTCCAAGCCTCCCTCTCTGTGCTGACCTCACCTGCAAGGCTGGCAGGTAAGCACAAACACGGCGGGCCTTACCTGGCAGATGATGTCTCTGTTGGTAACACGCACAATCATCCTGTATTTAGGAGTGTTGTACTTGTTTTTATCTTGAATAACCAAACGTTTCCGAGCATAGTAGTCAGTCTTTCCCTCTGAAAAATAACAGTTGCAGTGTGCAAAATGCATACATAAACCAAGAATATTCACCAAGGACATTTAATTGTGTGTTACAGGCAATTTAATAATACCTCTCCTTCTCCTGAATTTCACTTGGTATCTCTTGAAGTACGCCTTATTCTTGACAACTTTCACAAACCCCTTGGATAAGAAACATAAACTATGTGTTATTAACATATAACCCTGTAAGCCAACACCATTCCAACTAAACGTGCCATGAAAAAAGGCCCGTCCGCACGGACAGGAGCAATGACCGCGCTCATTTCCTGTCACTCCCGCACAGCCGCGATTTCTCTGGCCCGTTCCGCCA